GTATATCGTTTGGATTCTGCTCTTTGCATTTAATATTTTGTCCAGCTTTATTGAGGTGTAATTGACAAATAAAAATTGCATGTATTTAAGATATACAATGTGATAGTTTGATATACATATACATGGTGAAATTATTACCACAATTAAGCCAATTGACATATCATCACCTCACATAGCTACCTTTTTGTGTGTGAACAATTAAGATTTCTCTAAGCAAATTTAAAGTAAACAACAACACAGCATTGTTAACTGTAGTCAGTATGCTGTATGTTAGATCTGAGAAATTACCCTGCATATCTGAAACGTTATACCCTTTGACCAGCATCTCTCCATGCCCTCCACCATCCTCTTCCACCCCCTGCTCCTGGTAACCACCATTCTATTCTCTGCTTCAGGAACAATTTTAAATTCCACATGCAGTATTTACCTTTCTGTGTCTGGCTTATTTCACTTAGACAGTTTCATCCATGTTGTCAAAAAGGATAAGATTTCCTTCTTTTTAAGGCTGAATAATAATCCAGTGTGTGTGTGTGTGTGTGTGTGTGTGTGTGTATTTCTTATTCATCCCGTGACAACTACTTAGGTTGTTTTCATATCTTGGCTATTGTGAATAATGCTGCAATGAACATGGGGGTGCAGCTATTTCTTTGAGATAGTGATTTTATTTCCTTTGGATGTTTGCCCAGAAGTGGGATAGCTGGACCATATGGTAGTTCTATTTTTAATTTTTTGAGGAACCCGCATACTGTTTTCCATACCAGCTGTTCCAATTTACATTTCCATCAACAGTGTAGAAGGGTTCCCTTTTCTCCACATCCTCATCAATTCTTGTCTTTTGACAGTAACCATTGTAACAGGTATGAGGTGCATTTCCCTCCTGATGAGGGATGTTGAGCATCTTTTCACATACCTGTTGGTCATTTATATGTCTTTTGAGAAATGTCTATTCAGATCCTGTGTCCATTTTAAAGTCACGTCATTTGTTTTCTTGCTGTTGAGTTGTTCGAGTTCCTTATGTGTTTTGGATATTAACCCCTTATCAGATATATGGTTTGCAAATATTTTTCTCATTCTGTAGATTGCCTTTTCACTGTGTTACTGTAATTGTTTCCTTTGCTGTGCAGAAGCTTTTCAGTTTGATGCAATCCCATTTTTCTATTTTTGCTGTGTTACCTGTGCCTTTGTTTTCTATCCAAAAAAATCATTACTCGAACCAATGTCAAGAAGGCAGTTCCCCTGGGATGGCAGCTCCAACTCCACTTTTAAGTGGCTCCAGTTATATTATTATTATTTTAAAAAATATTTTTATTGATTTCAGAGAGGAAAGAAGAGGGAGAGAGATAAACATCCATGGTGAGAGAGAATCATGGATCGGCTGCCTCCTGCAAGTCCCCACTGGGGACCGATCCCACAACCCAGGCATGTGCCCTTGACAGGAATCAAACCTGGGGCCTTTCAGTTCAGAGGCCGATGCTCTACCCACTGAGCCAGACCGGCCAGGGCTCCAGTTATATTATTTTTCATATGTCCTAAGACATCCATCCTATGTAGTTGAATTAGTTTCTTTTCTGTACATCTAAGATAGCAGTAGCCATGTAACACCCTTGGGAGAATTGAGAAAATAGTCACTCAGATCCCTTTCTGTAGGGGCTAATCACTCTCACAGTCCTGAGGAAGGTCAGGAACCTTAGCTTTTCTGGCTTTTATGCTCTCGCAGCTCCCTGATGCCTCTCAGCAAATGACTTCTATTATCTTAGCTGGCTTTTCTGCTTTTCCCTGGGAGTGCTAATTTGCTGCAAGTTACTCCATCCTACCAGGAAGTGGAAGTCTGGCCAACATGCTTTAAATGCATAGCTGGGCTCCTAGGAAAATAAGGAAAATGCCCAGGGGCCAAAAATTAAAAATTAAAAAGGTGGCAAGAAGGAGCTGACGCTCCAGTGGGTAAAAGAACACAAGTCAGGGCTGCCCTGAAGCATGGCAGAAACTTGGACCCTAGAGTCTTAGATTTTAACAACTGGTGAGGAGGAGGAGGAGCCAAAGCCTTAGAACGAGGCAGGAGTGGAGCTAGAACTGTGTCCCTGTCCTCAGCCCTGAATATGGGACTCTCGAAGAGCTATGTTGCTTGAATGGAAGAGTGGGCTAGAAAATGAAATGGCAGGAAGATGTATGTACCAGCTGTGTGTGGAGGTGGGAGGGGTGGTTTCTGGTTGTTCTGCTGAAGATCTGTTCCATGGCCTTGCCTAGGCCGTTGGTGTTTGCAGTTAGACCAGCGGTTCTCAACCTTCCTAATGCCGCGACTCTTTAATACAGTTCCTCATGTTGTGGTGACCCCCAATTTCATTGTTACAAATTGAACTTAATTAAAGCACAGTGATTAATCACAGAAACAATATGTAATTATATATGTGTTTTCTGATGGTCTTAGGCGACTCCTGTGAAAGGGTCGTTCGACCCCTCAAAGGGGTCACGACCCACAGGTTGAGAACCGCTGAGTTAGACTGTCTCTGATATCCAGAAGATCCAGGTCTAGGAATGAGTAATTACCACTCACACAAAGAAACAGCCTGCTGTGAACATCAGCAGAGACAAGGACAAAGAGCAGAATTAGACCCCAGACACCTCAGTATGTTGTAAAAGAGCTATATTTAAAATGGAAAGAAACAAAGGATGAAATTTAAAAATACGAGCAAGAAGCAAAACCACTATCAAAAAAGACTATCAGATTTGAGGAAGAACCAAATGTAAGTTTTAGAAAAGTGCTTAGCATTTAGGAATTACATAATAACTGTTAGCTTCTTGCAAACTTAGCGAAGGCGATTTGATTTAGGCCGGTAATTCTCAATGTGAAACTCATGGCTTTCTTTGTAGAGTCTTCACTGATACTGTTACGGGCCCAGGGTCCGCTTGCCCAACACTTCAAAAGGCCAAAACTCAAAACATCAGAGTCTGGAGGAAGGAAAAGCTTATTGATGGAGAAGGTGCCAATCAAGAAGATGGAGGCCCTAGTAGTTCCTCAAATCCATCTTAAGGAAGTACAGAGTTTAGGCTTCTTTTATGTCAAGGGAAGGGGAAATGGGAAGGAGCTGTTTTTGTAAAAACTAAAGCCCCAAGCAGAATCCCTCTAATGATTAGTATGTCTCAAGCAAGACCTACTAGCCTGAGGGCCATGGGAGCAGCACAGGCCCAACAAGATGGGGTCCCAGAGACCGAGCATTTCAGCCTGTTAACAATACCATGGTTCTGTTGGCCTTCTCAGTTGAAAAATAATATCACTTAGGTCAGTGGTTCTCAACCTTCTGGCCCTTTAATACAGTTCCTCATGTTGTGACCCAACCATAAAATTATTTTTGTTGCTACTTCATAACTGTAATTTTGCTACTGTTATGAATCGTAATGTAAATATCTGATATGCGGGATGGTCTTAGGTGACCCCTGTGAAAGGGTCGGTCGACCCCCCAAAGGGGTCACGACCCACAGGTTGAGAACCGCTGGCTTAGGTGCTTCCTCACCAGAAAGGATTTATTCAGGAAAAAGAAAGGGTTGCAGCCCCATGCATGCAGACATGGCAGGCCACATGCACACTTGGCCTTTGTGCCAAGATGGAGGGGTATTTATAGAAGGGAAAAGAAAGTTAAGGGAAGGAGAACCAAGGAGCTGTATTATAAACAATTCTTCCCTTAGGGGTCTCTCAATTACTAGCGTGGGAGAACTTCCACATAAGCCCTAACTCCTCCTGTAGACCCTCCTGACTGACTGTTTGCCTAAAGTTCCAGTTAGTCTTTATCAGCCTTAAAATTTATTGACTTAGTTGGGATTGAAATCACCCCTTTGAGACAATTTCAAGCAAGCGTGCGAGGCATTTGCCCAGGTCGTTCGGTTTCAACAAACCTCAGGATTATCCTGTGTCCAAAAGATCCTGTCTCCACCTGACAAGTTCGTGGGATTCCTTCTGCTTATAAGGCTTTGTTTCCTGAAACCCATCATATATAGCATAACTTTTAGATTCAAATGAACCTATGTAAAAAAAATGAATGACAGATTAGAAAAGTAATGTGCAGGTGTGCCCGGTCAGCCTGCAGTGGGAGGAGCCAGTTGCACACAATTTATAAGCAGGTTTATAAAAACGTATCCTTAGAGCAGCTTTGGCTACTTCCCCCTCCCCCCGCCCCATCCCCTTCAGCATGTTTTTCTTTTTTTTTTTTTTTTTTAATATATTTTATTGATTTTTTACAGAGAGGAAGGGAGAGAAACAGAGAGATAGAAACATCGATGAGAGAGAAACATCGATCAGCTGCCTCCTGCACATCTCCCACTGGGGATGTGCCCGCAACCCAGGTACATGCCCTTGACCGGAATCGAACCTGGGACCCCTCAGTCCGCAGACCGACGCTCTATCCACTGAGCCAAACCGGTTTTGGCCTGCATGTTTTTCTTCATGTGTTTTTTGTTGATTTTGGAGAGAGAGGAAGGGATGCGGGGGGAGAAACATCAATCATTGAATCCCAGACCTTTTGGTCAGTGAGGCGACACTCTAACTGCTGAAAAAAACTGGCCAGGGTGAACTGGTGACCTTTTGGTGCATGGGACAACACTCAACCAATTGAGCCACACCAGCCAGGGCCAGTATGTTTTTGGAGTGCCTACTAGATGCTGGGCCTTGGACTAGCAGGCAGTATGTGAGGATGACTAAAACATTGTTCCTCCTTCCCTGGAATTCACATTCCAACTGACCACCTAGTCAGGACTGTTAGAAATGTGTCAAAATGAATTGCATCCATTATGTGCTTCCTTCTGCAAAACTGTTGATATCTTACGCATTCCTGATGAGTCATCTTCAGCTTTGAAACAAGATCAGGTACCACATCTGTATATTTTCCTAAGTATATGGAAACATTGGTTAGCTAGCAGGAAACTAGACTAGTTTTTCAAGCAAACGAATAGGTTAAATAATCAAGTTAACTTCTCCCTATTACTAATTTCACCTCTGCAAATCTTTTTAGGATGACGTGAGGCATAAGGTTCATCTAAACACCTTTGGATTCTTCAAGAATGGGAGCATGGTGGTTACTGTCAACAGCCTTTCAGTGACGGAAGGAGCCACAGACAAGGACCTGACTGTGAGTGCCTCCCCGGACAGCAAGGGCTGACCTTTCTCTGTTTCTTAGCTGAAAGCTTTGCCCCATACCTGGGTGAGAAGTGTCAGAATATGGAGAAAATAAACTTGTGAACAGGCATCAGATAATTTTATTGTTAACATTTAAATTGTAATTCTTGAATAATTTTAGTAATTAGTGATTCTTCTTGCAAATGAATGCCATGAAAACCGAGAGGAGGCCAGGCCATCATGTGGGCATTTACCTCTACGCTCTTTACCCCTCTTAGATTGGATTCAGCCTCGACCGTTCCAAGAATGACGGATTTTCTTCTTCCCTGGTGAGCATTGAATGCGTGACTGACCACACTCTTCACTGCAGCTCAGGACACCCGTGGGAGCACTGCTTTTGTTGGTGGGCTTTTTTCTTGAGGTGGTGGCTGCCGGGACTCCCGGGTATCAGTACACCCACGGTTGTGTTGTTTGCAGTGGAGGGTGGGCCCCTTGTTTGTCTTGTCCCTGAAAACGTTTTTTCCTTGTTCTAGTGTGAATGAATAAGGTGATTATAATTGGGTCTTCCTTTCTTAGGATGAAGATGTGAATTACTGTATTTTCAGGAAACAGTTTGTCTCTGTCCCCCTTCTAATCCTAAACTTCTCCAGAAGTGAGTAAGTAATTCTAATAATTCCTTCAGTAAAACCCTAGAGTAAAGTTGGGGGGAATTTGGTCATTAAGCTAACATTCACTGAGTATCTACCATTTGCCAAAGACTGTGCTGAGTGCTGGAGATTAAACACAGGGCGAGGGAGACAGCGGCCATCCCAGTGATCACAGCAAAGCAGAGAGGTGGGCCAGAGAGACTGATGTGGGAGAGAGGGAAGGTTTCAGGTAACGGGCCCACCCCACCTTCTAGTGCGGAGACTTCACCAGTGAACAAGAAAGGGAAGAACATTTCCCACGTAAATGCCAAGGCAGAATAGCACGAAGTGGTGTGGCGTGTTCCGTAAAGTGGGTTCTTACTCCCATCTCAGGAAGGGAGGGACAGGAAGGCTTCTCCCCAGGCAGAACTAGAAGTGCTTCCCTTCAGCTGGATCGTCCAGTTTAGGTCCGGTGTCACTCCGGCTTGGAAATTCACTGGCCCTTGTGCAGGGCGGGTAACAGCAGTGGGGGCTGTTCAGGAGGGAGAAGGGAGGAGATGCGTTCTAGGCGTGCCGCTCCAAGTTCCCTAGATTTCACTTGAACATTTCATTGTTCTTTTTAAAATATATTTTTATTGATTTCAGAGAGAGAGAGAGAGAGAGAGAGAGATATAGTAACATCAATGATGAGAGAGAATCATTGATTGGCTGCCTCCTGCACGCCCCCTACTGGGGATTGAGCCTGTAACCTTAGGCATGTGCCCTGAATGGAAATCGAACCATGACCTCCTGGTTCATAGGTCAGTTCTCAACCACTGAGCCACCGCAGCCAGGCCATTTCATTGGTTTTATCTCATTCTGTTCCCCTTGTACACCAATTTATTGACCATATCACAGATACTTAGTGGGAAAGAATGTACATCAGAATTGCGTGATTGCCAAGAATTTCAGCCCTGGGGGGGAGGCTGCCTGGATCCTCGCCAGCTCCTTACTAGCTCACTGCTCTTGGGCAAGGTGTTTACCCTTCCTGAGCCTCCATTTCAGCATCTGTAAGATGCAGGTGATAGAAACTACATTGTAGGATTACATGACATAATGAATCTAGAGCTTGAAGCCGTGCCTAATGTACAACACTTAAAGGTCCATAAGCATTACCTTGAACTTTCCCCCTTCTATCTTATTTGACTGTAGAGTGAAAGTAAAATCTCCACCAGAAGCTGGTACCCAGTTACCAAAGATCATCTTCAGCAACGATGAGAAAGTCCTTGGCCAGAGCCAGGAGGCTGGTGTCCCCCCGGTTTCCGCAGGCAGCCAGACTGAGACGAGACGAGGTAAAGGTGAGGTGGAGCTAGCCTTTCCGTCCCTGCCCGGCTTGGTCGATTCTTTTTGGTTCCTAAGTAAAAACAAACATGATCTAACCATTATTTTATGGTAAAATATATAATCATTAAAGAAAAGTGGAAATACGGAGAAGGTAGAGAAAGAAAAGTCATTTCTCCTTACCGGTACACCCAGTGTTAAAATTTTAGTAATTGATGTTTTACCTAAGGTTGTTTCTTAAGTGGAGAACATTTAAAATTCACAGTTACAAGTACCACTTTAAGCATCCCTGTTCACTTAAAGATATTTTATACTTATCACATATCCGTTAAATGGGTAGTATACTTTACTCAACCTCTCCCTTTAAGGAGGCATATTTTCATTTTGATGCTATTATAAATATTGCTGCATTGGACTTCTTTGTTCGTAAAACTTTTTTCAGATATAGAACTTTCTTTAGGATGGGTTCCCAGAATTGGAATACCTGATTCAAAGGGTCTGAATACGTCTGTTGATGCATATTTTTAGTTCCTTTCCAAATGAGTTGTGTGGGTTTATCTACTCCTATCAGAAAACAGGTGGGAATAGTGCCCATATCACCATGTCCTAGCCAGTACTGTGTGTGTGAATGTTAGTGAAAGGCAGAAGGGCATTGTTTTTGTGTTCGCTGTTATTAGGTTGCACTTTTTTCCTAAGTTGACTAACCAATTTATATTTACCACCTCTTTTATTAACTGTCAGGTTTGTCTTTAAAAGCAAATTAATATTTATTGCATTTTATTTATTAATAAATATTAGTAATATTTATTGTATTTACACTTTTTTTTTACTTTGTCAAAACTCTAACCCAAATTAGAAGACCTGCAGAAAGACTGCATTTGTGTGATGGTGTGGTTTAATGTCTGCACCGTCCCCTCATCCCGGTTCCTCATGCACAGTGACCATTTCCTGAGCAGGAAGTACTCTTCCTTCTTTTTCTTCTGAAACCCTCTCCCTTCCTGCAGGGAGTTGGGGATTCTGCCTTCCTCATGAAGAGTATCTTAAGTAAAAATAAGGCCCAGGTGCCCTCTTTGTTCCATGAAAGAAGCCATTAGCAATCTTAACACTTCTTGCTAGGCTGTTAATTTTTCCATGTATGTAAATAGATCTCATATACATTTATTTCAAACAGTGACCTGTTTTCAAACATAATTACCTAGATAGTTAGAAAAGTCAGGCCATGTGGCATCTCTGGCAGTAACATACACTAGATTATCAGATGAGTTCCCTGTTGGTACTGAATATTATCACTTATTAGATACATTTATAACATAATAAGTTCCAGTTTGCTGCTTCTACAGCTCAAGAATTATTTTGAGATTTAAAGAGATGGCAGTCCAGCCCTGGCCGATGTGGCTCTGTTGTTAAGGTGTCATCCTGGGCACCAAATTGTTGCTGGTTCCATTTCCAGCCAGGGCACATGCCCGGGTTTCGGGCTCTGTCCCTTGTTAGGGGCACGCAGGAGGCAGCAATTGATGTTTCTTTTTCTTCCTCTCCCTGTCCTTCTCCCTCTGCTCTCCTCTTTCTGTAAATATCAATAAAAAAAAATCTTTTTTTTTTTTTAAAAAGAGAGAGATGGCAGTCCACAAGATAGCATATGGTCTCACCTTTTTTTGCTTGTTTGAATTATTTGATATTAGACAAGCTAGAGTCTCATAAAATGATGCTATGATATACATATGAGGTGAATCCTACAGTAATACCTTTTCAATGTTTCTGCTTCTAGAGAGTGGAAAGTCTAAAAGAAGTACAGAAGATTCAAAGGTAAGAACTAAGCACCCATTTGTGCTCAACTTTTTTGTTTATATATGTATATGTGTGCATGTATGGATCTCTTTTTAAACACACACATACACAGGTACATTCACATACATACACATGCCTAATGTACAGGGAGCTGCCTTCTGTTTGGAGACATAATGTTGGCACACTGAAACAACTTAACAGTGAAATCGGGTGCTGCATTGTACAGCACTTAAGTGCTAAAGGGCCAGTTAGTGGGTGGAGAGGGAAGTGAGCTATCTGGAGAACCCTCTGGAAGGAAGTTTCACCAGGGTTTGAAGTTTGCTGGATTTGTTTGGGGAAGAGGAGATGGAATGGGATGAAGACTGTCATAAGCAAAGACTGGAAGTGGAAATGAGCATAACAGGTGCTGGGCACTGGCCTGTTTGAAGTAAAAGGTACATATTTGGGAGCAGAGAGCGGGATCTTAGATAATACAGAGCTGGCTGCATATGCTGCTCCTGCCCGTAGTCGCTTAGCTGTCTCATGAGATCCACTGTCACGGTGTCGCAGTGCTGGTGTTCAGGTCACCCTTATTTCACTTACTGTTGGCCCCGTTGTGCTAGTGTCGTGATGCTGGCAGTTCAGATACGCCAAAGAGAAGCTTCCTTTACGTGAAGAGGTGAACATTCTTGACTTAAAAAGGAAAGAAAAAAAAAAGCCATGGGGAGGTTGCTAAGATCTACAGTAAGAATGAACCTGTCTTTGAAACTGCCTACTTTATAAATTAAACTTTCTCATCGGTTTGGGTGTATAAGAAAAAGCATAAACATAGTATATGTAGGGTTTGGTGCTATCTGCAGGTGCAGGCATCCCCTGGGGGTCTTGGAATGTATCCCCTGCAGATCAGGAGGGAGGACCATATTTAAAATGGCAATTTGATACGTTTCGGTTTACGTGTACACTGTGAAGCTATCACCACAGTAAAGTTAGTGAACATTACCCATCGCCCCAAAAGTGTTTCCTGCCCCGTTGCCATGCCCCTGTCCCCTGGCAACCACTGCTTTGTCCCCGTAGATTAGTTTCACAAAACTCTGCGCAGATGGATTATGCGGTGCGTGCTCTTTTGTGTTCTTTCATTCAGCGTAAGTATTCTCAGTTCATCATGTGTTGCATATGTCAGTAGTTCCTTTCATTACTTCGTCCGTTGGACCAATGGCAACCTGTTACTCACTTGCAATCGGGAGTGGAGTCCAGGGATGGTCAGGGTGTGACCTGGGTTGGCACCCTAGGTCTTGCTGAAGCTTTAATAGTAGAGAAGTGCTCCAGCAGGAAGTTGGGGCCGGGGTGAGGAGTGGGGTTAGTGAAGAGGCAGAAGACAGCTGAGTAAAGGCAGTGGGTGAGGAAGAACGAACATTCTCTGTGAAAGGGGATTTCAGACATCGAAAGGATGGTGGATGTTATTTTTAGGAAGCTTTTAAAGGTCGGAAAATGTAGGTTTTCAGAAAAACGTGTTTAAGTCTTTCTGTTTATGTTTATGTTTATTAGCTTACTTTTCCTGCCAGTGTCCTAAAGCAGGTTGTTATGTCTTTCTAGGCAATGGAAGAGAAATCCTTTTCTGTTCGTAATAATGGCAGGGCACTTTCATTTCGGGTACGTATCTTCTTGAGTAAAGATTGATCTCTACCATGTAAAGAGTGAATTTTTAAAAGCAAAAGCATTTTGAATTTAGGAATAATTAAGCATGCTATATATCAGTCACTTGAATACAGTAGCTCTCTCCATAACAAACCTACAGGGTGGATATTATCACCCGCCGCGTAGCAAATCGTAAGACTCTAAGAAGGAATAACTTCACGAATGTCCAATATGAGTGATAAGGCCCAGATTCCAACCCAGTTCTGCCTGGCTGTCCCCCCACTCTGCCTCTAATCCTACGCTGTCTCCCATTCCGAGTGCTCCAGGAGGACCATGGGTGATCCCTTAGGGTGATGTTGTAATTTTAGATGAGTTCACTGAGACTCAGAGGCCTTGAGTGACCCGCAACGCTGTCACCGTTATTAACTGCATGTGAGTGTTTGTGGCGGCATCACAGCCCATGTATGTGGTAGGAGGTTGGACTGGATCTCAGCACCAGCTTACTAGCTGGTGACCTTGGACAGCACTTCACTTCGGCTCCTCGCTCTTTAATCATCTAAGAATGAAAAACGGTGGGACTGTCTCATAGGGTTGCTCTGTAAAGCGCTATGCAAATAACCTTTATTATTACTTTGTAAAAGTCACTGCCTCTTTCCTAACCCGTTTTCATTAATTGAGGTATAATTTGCTTACAGTGAGTGCACAGCTCAGTGTTGACAAATGCAGGCGGCCATGTAATCCACTCTGCCAGACGCTCTGCTTTTATCACCGTGGAAGTCCCCCACCCCTGCATCCTCTGTTCTGGTTTACAGTGGCTTATATTGCCTATCTAAAAATTTTTATATGTTAAGTTTAGTAGCCATTGGTATTAATAGCTAACTGAGAGCTTGTGGAGTAGTCACCTCCAAATCCTCAGCAGCTTTCAGCTGTCTCAGAGGGAAAGCCCAGGTCCTTCCACTTGTCTGCAAACCCAGGTCGGCCGCTGTCATTTCTATCCTCGGCTCCTGTTCCCTGCCCCTCCCCTCCCCTAGCTAACTCTGCTCCAGGCACACGGCCACCTTGCTGCTCCTAGGAAAGATGAAGCCTCAGGCTCTGCTTTAACTGTCCCCACTGGGAGGAACACTTGTCCCTTGGAACCCTTTTGATTAATTTCTTTCTCCTTCAAGTCTTTCAAACACCACTGTCTCAGCAAAGCTTCCCCAGTCACCGTGTTTTAAATGCAGCCACTCCGTTCTTTTCCCTTCGTACTTCTTGTTTCCAACATGCTGTAACTGTACTTACTATGTTTGTCAGTCTCTCCCTGTAGAAGGTAACCCTAAGGGCAGGGATTTTCTGTTTTATTACTGATGTATATGAAATTCCTAACCTTGGACCTGGCCTCTCATAGGCTCTCCATCAGTAATTATGGACATGAATGAATGAATGCCAGGCATTGTGCTAAATACTTTTATGTTATCATCTCAGTTCATCCTCCCAACAACTCTATGAAGTAGGTACTGTTATTATTCCCCTTTTACAGATGAGGAAACTGAGTCTCAGAGAGGTTAAGTAACTTGCCCAAGGGGAGGACTCAAACCCAGGTTTTTCTGACTCCAAGGCCCATGTGTTTAACCACTTTGCTTTACTGCCTCCTTAAGAAAATACAAAAGGTACTTTTCTCTCTTTTTTCCCTCACTTTAAAATGCTTGTTCATAAAATAAGTGTTTTGAATGTTTTTGTAAAAAGCCTTTAAAAAGTAATTCAAAAGGAAAGCATATCGGATGTATACATTGTCAGTTACTAATGCGTGTGTCAGGTGAGTGTCAGGGCAAAGCAGCGGACACTGCTGATGAGAACATGGGTTGAAATGGCCAGTTCATAGGGTCCCTGGGATGCGTAAAACAGGCAGTTCCGGGCTGCTTGCCCTCTCCTTGCAAAGGAGTCGTAGGTGACTCCTTCCTGTTCTCCTACCCAGTGTTCTCCCCATTTTGCACAGTGAAGTCACCTGAGCCTTTCTGCTCCATCCACAGAACAAGGATGATCGTTTATCCCCAAAGGGACTGTCGGAGCTTATTCCAACTCTAAAATTTACATTTTTGCTTTTTTTTGTTTTCTCCTTAAGGGTCAAGTGCCAACTCTGATATCTTTAATAATTCTATTGATTTTTTAAAAATATTTCTTAACTTCATCTGAGTCTTTGAGAACTAGGAAGTTAATATGTTTAGAAACATTTTCTATTCTGGCTACCTTGTGTGGACTAAAATACACGTCTGACGTTTACAAGGATGAGTTTGGGACATGGTTTAACAATTTCAACTTGAATATTCTTGGCCTTTTATTTCCAGCTTCTTCTCAGGTGTCTCTTTTTCCTCCCCGCCTTTTAAATTGTAAGGTGTAGTATATATACAGAAGAGTGTTAGTACCTATATTGGTGATGAATACAAATAGTTGTAAGTAATCACCGTTGTAACCATCACTGGGACAAGAGATGGAATCATGTTAGTACCTCACAAACTCCATATCCTTCCCAACTCTAGAGTAACCCCGATCGTGAAGAAAATGTTATAATCATGTCCTCACCTTTCTTTATAGTTTACCATCTGTATATGTAGCCCTAAGCCACATGATTTAGGCTTACAGAAAAATTCTCTAGGATAGACTCAGGAGTTGCTTCTATGATCTTACGTACATGTATGATTTCTTTTAATTTACATTAAACTTCATTTGGACACATGAAATATAAGAAAAACATGTCTGAATATAGAAAATGTAGCATTTATTACTGTTGCTTAAAATCACAGGTGTAAATTTTAATGAGGGAAAATTGTTTTTTTTTTTTTAAAGGATTTGTAATTGGTTTTTAGAGAGAGCAGAATGAACAGGGACAGAAACATCAGTGTGAAAGTAAAACATTACCGGCTGCCTCCTATATATTCCCTACCCAGAATTGAGCCCACAACCCTGGCATGTGCCCTGACCGGGAATCGAACTGGCAACCCTTCAGTGCATGGGATGACGCCCAGCCAACTGAGCCACATCGGACAGGATGGAATATTGGTTCCTTACCTTGTCAAGTATTAAATGAATCTCCTTCAGTTGTCAGGAGTATTTTTACCTAAAGAGCAAAATAATACGTTGGCTTGAAAACTAGATAACTGCATCTTCTAAGGTTGCCTCGGAAGACTTCTGCCAAAATCCATCACCAATGGATAGATGTGTGATAATGCAAGGATAGTAAAACGTTCATTGTGGAATCTAGGTAGTGGGTATATAGGTATTTGCTGTATAATTCTGTCAACTTTTCTGTTAGCTTGAAAGTTGCTGTAACAACTTTGGGAGGGAATCATAGAACAAGAAAACATCTTTAAATTCTGCTCTGGGAGAATTTGATTTCTTGAAGTAGTCTATCTTTTTTTCTGTTCATAGTATTCATGATTTCTTTCTAAGACTTAAAAATTTAGCTGAGGATTTGGGTACCCTTTAATTTTTTTCTCCTTCACTTTCAGTTTTTCTTTAACATCAGCACCAATGAGCAGGAAGGCCTCTACAGTCTTTATTTGCATAAATGCACTGGACCTAAAATGCAGTCTAATGACAAGTTTTCATTCAGCCTTGATGTGAGTACCATATGGAAACTGTTCCACATGAGTTTTGTCATCCGTGTAAAATGGAAGACATTTATCTATAATAATAAAAGCCTAGTATGCAAATCAACCAAACAGCAGAACGACCATCTGAATGACCTTCCGGACAACCACGCTATGTATGACACGCTGCACTAGGCCAGCCAAGGCGGGTGCGATGTGATTGGTCGGGGGGGCCCCACGATTGCCCCACGATCGCCCCGCAGAGTGAGGCCCAGGCCACCCTCTGTGGGGCGATCGATGGGAGGCTCCGCAATTGATCGCCCCAAAGAGGGAGGCCCAGGCTACCCAGCCGGTGGCACTGTGGCAGGTGGGCGGGACTTCCCTCTGCGGGGCAATCGATCTGGGGGCCCCGAGATCGACCGCCCCACAGAGGGAGGCCCAGGCCAGCCGAACAATCGCATCCCATGCTTGTCGCCCGCAGAGGGAGGCGACTGGTGGCGGGGGGTGGGGGAGCAGTATGCAGCGCTGCACAGGTGACAAGCAGTGGTGGGGGCGGGGCCAGTTGCCAGCAGCCAGGAGATGGAAAGCCCCGATAGGCCCTGATTGCCAGCCAGGCCTAGGGACCCTACCTGAGCAGATTGCGAGAGGGCGCAGGCCAGACTGAGGGACATCCCCTCAGTGAATTTTGTGCACTGGGCCTCTAGTTTCTCTATAAGAATAGATCTTAAGACCACTTAAGCAAAGTAAAAGGAAAGTGTGGCCAGTGGGCAGGAACTTTAGCAGAGGATTCATAAACAAGGACTATAAAGCAATTGGGTGTGTTTACATTTCAGCCAGTGCACTAAGAATGTGTTTGTTCTCTGCTGGTATTCACTCTTAAGCTTAAGTTAAACAGCTAAGATTACAAAGTGCTGGATGTGAAATGATCTGTTCCTGAAAAGTAAAAATAAATTTCATGTTGGTTTCAGATTGAGATCACGGAGAAGAATCCTGACAGCTACCTCTCTGCAGGAGAAATCCCTCTCCCTAAGTTATACATTTCTATGGCCTTTTTCTTTTTCCTTTCTGGGACCATCTGGATTCACATTCTTCGAAAACGACGGTAAAATACTACTTCCTTAAGTCCTTCAGCTTCGAGTGGGTTGGTATTTGTACAATTTCTCCTTTGCTGGCTTCTGCACCTGGGCAGGATTGGCACCGGCCATTTTGTTCTCTTCAAAGGGCATCTTCCCTGAAACGTAGGACCCTGCAGGAGCTTTGCATGCCTTGGTGTTTGCTCACTTCCCATCGTTTTGCTTAAAAGTTAAATTCAGAGATTTCAATAATATACAAGCAAAATAAGATGTATATAAGCTGAGCGTTTCCATAGCGAAGAGATCACAGTGCAGCACTCCAAGTGAACACACTGGTCCCAGTCAGGGGCTCTTTGTTCTTGAGAGCAGACGAGGCCGAGAGCACGAGTCACCACCTCGTACGGAAGCCTCAGCTCAGAGCTGGGCTGGGAGAGCTGCTGACCTTCTGATACTGACCTGGCTTGTCACTGGAGAAATCCTCTTCAAAGCCCATCTGCCTGGCTGTTGGCCTTTCTGCTGAAACCCCTGTGGCTTTAACTTCCTGTACTTGGCTCTTGAGGAGACCAGCTGCAAGCTGCATGTAGGTGGAGCTAATGTTTAATTCTGTCTCTCTCCCCCAAAATTGAGACGCAAAATATAATTTTCAGTTAAAGGATACAATTTTGTTATAAGGCCCATAAACTAAGTAAATGATGGTGTGTGAATATGGTATTGCAATATGGGTTAAGTTGAATTTATATAATAATCAAGGACCCCAAATACCTCTTTCCCTGGAGCGTTGGGGCAGACATTGATGCCTCTGACATCTCTTGCGGCCTGTGTGCTGGACATGCTCAGCTGGGAGCAGCTGTAACACCCTGCCCACCACCGGATGGAACGAGCTTTTTGTTTACCTGGGAAGGACCCCGCCTAGTCACTTGGACTAGACGGTCAGCAGCCGTGAATAAGACAAAAAGAGTCCTATGAAGTTAGGCCATAGAAGGGTTTGGTTTTGTGTAAAGAAAGTTTTGCCTTTGCTTTAATTAGAAAAGTGAGAACTAGGAGCGAGAGAGCTGGTTTCCAGTGTGAACGCGGTTCCCGCCTGTGTGCCTGCTCCGCGCTCGGTCCTTTCTCCTCAGCTGTGAAACGGGGCAGTGAGTCTTGCGCTGGCTTCCTCTGAGAGCTGAGCTCTTGAGATGGATGCGCAGGAGGGGTTTGCACATCAGGATGCTCTGCAGCTGTGAGGCACATGTGAGGTGCTTCAGTTCCCTTTACTTAGTGATACAACAGTCATGGGCACTGGTTCACTGAAATAATAAAAACTGGCAGCAGTTTTAAATGTGTGGTAAATGAGGCTGACCTAGTTTGTACATGTTTTAAGCTTCTTATTGAAGTATAGTATACATACAAAATGTATGATTTCCGCCCCCCACCCCATCCTCTTGTTTCCCTGGGAGTCTTACAGCGGGTCGGGTCATGTGAAGTTGGAAATTCAAGTCATGGAAAGGATGTGACTCCGTGGCTGCCGCTGCCTTTCAGAGGCTTGCAGCCCCTCCCACTGGAAGGAGTTGAGAGATCTCTGCCTGGGTTTATTGAGGCCTTGACAGGGGAAGCGAGAGCCATGGCCAGTCAGCTACAGAGCTGGGACTGGAACCCAGATGTCCTGCTGTGTATACGTGGCTCCTCTCAGCTCTGTGCTGTCTGCCTTGGGCCCAGAGCCCCGGGGCAGTGGAGGGAAGCTGGTGTTCTGAGTCAGGCACCTGGTGGTGGTTATTTTAGCTAATGTTCCCACAGCTCCTTGAGGTAGGCAAGTGTAGCCCCATTTTTAGAAGAGGTTACTGAGGTTTAGAGAGATGAAGGTCATCGGAATAGAACCAGTATTGGAGCCAGTTCTGTGTGGCTTTGGAGCCTGTGTTCTTTCTATCACATCACGGCCCCAGGCAGGAGGCAGGGAGGTTTTAACTAGGACTGCTAGCTAGTCGAGGTTGCTGGGGAGTTGGGGGGGGGGGGCGGTGACAGCGGGCAGTTTTGCCCTGTGGTAAATCTAATTGCTATTCACAGTGACAGACTACTCTGGCCTTGACTTCCTTTTTGACTTTTGGGCACTGGGATAGGAAATTACCGGAGAGGAAATCATTCTGGAAACAGCATGTGTTGGTTCAGGGCGCGCCCTCCTTATCATCCTTGCAAGGCCCTCTCCCTCGTTTCCCTTCATTTCCTATCCCTTCTCTCATTCCTTCCCAACCACTCAAATGGGTTTATTATGTGTTTTCTGAAAATCGGGCACTTTTATAAATTAGGAATGTTTATTCATGTTGCATGTATTTTTAAAAATTTTTTTTTTATATTTCATTGATTTTTTACAGAGAGGAAGGGAGAGGGACAGGGAGTTAGAAACATCGATGAGAGAGAAACATCGATCAGCTACCTCCTGCACACCCCCTACTGGGGATGTGCCCGCAACCAAGGTACATGCCCTTGACTGGAATCGAACCTGGGACCCTTCAGTCCGCAGGCCGATGCTCTATCCACTGAGCCAAACCGGTTAGGGCAATGTTGCATGTATTTTTTTTAAAATATATTTTATTGATTTTTTACAGAGAGGAAGGGAGAGAGACAGAGAGCTAGAAACATCGATGAGAGAGAAACATCGGTCAGCTGCCTCACGCACATCTCCCACTGGGGATGTGCCCGCAACCAAGGTACATGCC